TCCGCTTCAGCGGCCGTCGAGCTCCCTCACTTACGACTGCCGTAAAAGCACCACCTCAGTTTCGCTGAAAGCCGTAAGTGAGCAGCGAAGCCACTTAGAGGAGTCCTGCGCATGCGCAGCTGCCAGGTCGCGCGACAGGCGAGTACGTTGGCCTATTGTGCGCGTGCGTCAGTTTCTGCGCCGGGAAAAGATTCTGCACATGCGCCATTCTGCTGAGGGGCGGGGGTCTTCGTGCTGACGAGGCCCGCAGGGCCCGTTTGGCGCCTCAGGGCTCACGCGGCAGCAGAGCTCCTTGTCATGGCAAGTTCTAATATATATATATATTAGATGGGGCGACCGGCATGTTCTCACAGAATTAGGCAGTGTCATTATGATATTTACTATTGTTTCACTATAGTTTCAACCAATTTTCTCCAAGCTGAGGTTTAAGCTTACCAGCCTGTAATTGCCAGTATCACATCTAAAGCCTTTGTTAAAAATCAGTCACAATCAATGACAATAAAACAGTAAGAAATTAAATATTATGATCAAATATGATTCTTTCACACTGTTGTGAACTGCGGCCTCTGTTTCCACTGCACTTTGAAAAAAAAAAGAGTACTAAATTTCTGAATGCTTACTAAATTTCTTGCCAGAGCAAAAATAGAATTTGATCAAAATCAGAGGAGGGAATGGAGACATCCAGCTAAATACCACAATATCAGTCTGCATTCACCTTTCAAATGACTCTCAGGTAAGGTAGTGCTAGAGATGCAGCCAAGACAGGACCATGCAGCACTTTAACGACTAACAAGATGGTTATTAGGTGATGAGCTTTCGTGGGCCAGACCCACTTCCTCAGAGCCCACGAAAGCTCATCGCCTAATAACCATCTTGTTAGTCGTTAAAGTGCTGCATGGTCCTGTCTTGGCTGCATCTCTAGCACTACCTTACCTGAGAGTCATTTGAAAGGTGAATGCAGACTGATATTGTGGTATTTAGCTGGATGTCTCCATTCCCTCCTCTGATTTTGATCAAATTCTATTTTTGCTCTGGCAAGAAATTTAGTAAGCATTCAGAAATTTAGTACTCTTTTTTTTTTCAAAGTGCAGTGGAAACAGAGGCCGCAGTTCACAACAGTGTGAAAGAATCATATTTGATCATAATATTTAATTTCTTACTGTTTTATTGTCATTGATTGTGACTGATTTTTAACAAAGGCTTTAGATGTGATACTGGCAATTACAGGCTGGTAAGCTTAAACCTCAGCTTGGAGAAAATTGGTTGAAACTATAGTGAAACAATAGTAAATATCATAATGACACTGCCTAATTCTGTGAGAACATGCCGGTCGCCCCATCTAATATATATATATATTAGAACTGGAAAAAGTGCGGAGAAGGATATCAAAAGTGATAAGGAGAATGATCCTACACGTAGATTAATACAATTTGTTGCGGAAGAGTCAACATGGCTTTTGTAAAGGGAAATCATGTCTCACCAATCGGTTAAAATTCTTTGAGGGATTAGCAGTCATGGACAAGTGAGAATCAGTGGATATAGTTTGTACTTGGATTTTCAGAGAACCATTGACGAGGTCTCTTGCCAAAGGCTCTTAAGCAAAGTAAGTAATCATTGGAAAAGAGGGAAGGTACTGTCATGGATCAGTTATTGGTTAAAATTGTATGAGAACATGCTTGCATTACTTGGGGGAGAGAGCTTTGTGCAATGGGGGTGAAAAGGGAGCAGATTGGAGGCAGGGCATTGGGGAAGGGGTGGAATGGGGCCTTTTTGAGTCTGTAGAGTCACATTTTTTCACTTTTCTCTGCAACCATAAGATCTGGATACTATTTTTTCAATGAAAGTGGAGGCTCTCCCATAATTATGTAACGCTAGGAGCTGGGGATTTAAATCATCAAATGTTGTGAGATTTGTAATAAACTTATGAGCATTTCAAACACTGTGTTTTTGATATGGACTAAAGGGACTAGGAGCCATATGTGCTCCAGGGCTGGAGCACCCATGAAGAAGCATTGGTGGGTGCTGACCACCTATTGACAGCCACCTGTCAGCTCTCCCCATCCCCCAGCGTAGCCTGCCTGACAGTGGGAGTGGATCAGTGCTTCCCTCTCCCTCCCCACACCTCCCGCCTGCTGTGATCAATTATTTGGCAGCATTTGGAGGCTGGGTGAAAGGAACGAAGAAGCAGCGCGCTGGAGGAAAGGGACAGAACTGGGCAGGAAGAGTCAGGGTGGGGGTGGAGCAGGGGTGGGAAGAGGCAGGATGGGGCTGGAGCTTTGGTGGAAGGCATGGAGTTGGAGCAGGGTTGGGGCAGAACTAGGGGCTGTGCTGGAGAGGCCTCTGTCTGAGGGGAGTTCGGACCCCCCGTGGACAGGCGCTGCTGCTTCACAGGAGCCTCTGTCCGCCATGTGCCCAGGGTTGCTGTCTACAGAGGCTGCTCTGGGGGATGCTGGAGCAGCGCCTCTGTCTGCGGGGAGCTCAGGCCCCCCCATGGACGGGCTGGGCCACCTCATGCTGTTGCTTCTGTATCAGAGGCAGCAGCATAAGGTTGCAGGTGGGGGCTGGTCTGCGCGGGGAGCTGGTTTTTAAACTGGTTCCCTTTGCAGACCAACTCCTGCCTGCCATCCAGCACGGCTGCCTCTAATACAGTGCAGCCGGCCCCACCTCTGGGACTATCGAATAGTTGTGTAACCACTAAAATGTAATGCGGTTACACGACTATTCAGTTACACTATTTCTATCTTCCCTGCTTTCAAGTCCATCATGCATGAGAACCCTATGCTTGTGTGGTTCTTTCATTTCCAGTTTGTAGCCACACACTGATCTGCACTGTAAATATCATCATAATCTCTACTGATTATATTCCTATCCCTTGCTCTAAATCAACCCTAGCTTCAGACACTCTTACTGCTTGAAGTACCCTCATGGCACTGAAAATACCATCTTTAGCATGCCTGATATTACAACATCTGTTCTCTGGCATTAAAATACTATGTTCAGAAAAAATACACATTTGTACTTCAGCAGAAAGATGGTTTAGCGGCTCGGGCAGAACAGAGCTTGACTTGTGTCCTATTTTTCTGATACTTAACTGCTTTCTTGTACCTTTTTAATTCTGAATTATGACCTTTTGGTCATGGCTAAGACAAATTGAACAACTGCAACAAAATCCTGTCCATGAAAAAAGTGCTCATGCACAGACATTTAACCAGAGCAGGGCTACTCAACTTTGGAAGCTCTGGGGGCTACAATGATACTCACAGCACATACCGAGGGCCGCAACGTAAGTGTGGTTGCATATACATGCAAATAGATATAGCTTCTTTCACGCTGACAGCCATGAATATAAAGATTAAGGCAAGAATACACAACACGCAGGCCTCATTTAAATCAGTTCTGCTGATAATAATAAAATGCAATATTTACCCGATTTCCACCCATATGACAGCACTTCTAATGAGCAATGGCAGTCCAGGAATTAAACTACTAAAACACATAACAGAAGACCATTATATTGACTACTTTTTTGTTAGGCCACGTGTTGAGTCCAGTGTAAACCCAAATTGCACCGTGGGATGCAAACAAACGGGTGGCGGGCCACATACGGCCTATGGGCTGCGTGTTGAGTAGCCCTGAACTAGAAAGTTGCAAAGAATATTCCTTGTACTAAAAGTTATTAGAAATGCACCTAGAGACATGGCTATCCTACTCAACAGCTTCTACTCAACAGCTCCTACTAAAACACATTGCTTGTTCAATGCACAATGTTGTGTGCCTAGATGCCATGTTGGTAAGTGTAATAAATAATAAATGTGCTGCCTTTGGGCTTTGGGCTGAAATGATTTCTAAGGGTGAAAGGTGATATGAGAAATTCACATTCTTTAATAATAAGCAGAATGTGAAGAGTGCACATTTAGCTGCAGTAGTAGTGGAGAACAGGAGTGGATCATCTGGAAAAAAATTGACAATTTTAAGTTCCTAACTCTTTTAAAAAAACTATTCTGATTGGCCATAGGCCAAGAAACACTGTTATCCAACAGAAAATGCACATCTTGCATTCCCTTAAACCTTCTCATGTTGCTTCTAAAGTAAGAAGCAAACACAGGAAATCTTGATGTTTGAAATGTCAATGGAATTCAGATGAAAGTGAACCATAAATGCTCTATGTCTCAGAGTGGTAGCCATATTAATCTGTAACTTTAAAAAGAATGAGTAGTCCTGTGTCACTTTAGAGACTAACAAAATACATATAGTATCATGAGCTTTTGTGGGCAAAACCCATTTCTTCAGGAAGTGAGTTTTGCTCTTGAAAGCTCATAATACTATATATTTTTTTGTTAGTCTCTAAGGGTATGTCTACACTGTATTCCTCTTTCGAGAGAGAAATGCAAATGCAGGTGAATGAAATTGCAAATGAAACAGGGATTTTAATTTTCCATGCTTCATTTGCATAATCGCGTCCAGATGCTATTTCGAAATACCCTATTTTGAAAAAAGAAATGCAGTCTAGACATGGTTATTTCGAAAGAAAACCCTTCTTTCGAAATTACCCTTAAACCTCATTTTATAAGGAGTAAGCGTAATTTCGAAAGAAGGGTTTTCTTTTGAAATTACCACGTCTAGTCTGTGTTTCTTTTTTCAAAACAGGGTATTTCAAAATAGCACCAGGACGCAATTATGCAAATGAAGCGATGGAAATTCAAATCTGCGCTTCATTTGCAAGTTCGCTCAGCTGCATTTGCATTCCTCTCTTGAAAGAGGAATGCAGTGTAGACATAACCTAAGATGCCACAGGACTACTCGTTCATAAATGCCCCGTGAAAGCTCTTTATATTTGATATATTGAACTCCATCCTGCTTTTTGTGGACACTTTGGCTAAGAAAGTTGATAGAGATTGGTCACAGTGTATATGGCCATGAAGTCCCATCTCCACATTGCTGTGCAATTTTTGCCCTGGCTGTCACCCTTTTACCCAGAGGTGGCTGTATTTCTGTGGTTATATAATACAGGTATGAATAGAAAGAGAATTTGGGAAGTGTTTGGGCTTGTTAATTGGCTAACCTTTTACATCCCTAGGTTCCACAAGCTCTAGTAGTCAGGAAGAAAACAATTGTGTTTTGCAGAAATAGTTCGTCCAACTTTAGCGAGTGAGTTCAAGAAACTTACCATATGACCCAAGAGCC